CTTTAAAAGAATTCGCTTTTAGAGCGATTTCCTTGAAGGATTTCGCTTCCAGAGCGTTTTCCTTGAAGGATTTTGCTTCCAAAGCATTTTTCTTGAAGGATTTCGCTTTTGGAGCGTTTTCTTTAAAAGAATTCGCTTCTGAAGCATTTTCTTTAAAAGAATTCGCTTCCGGAGCGTTTTCCTTGAAGGATTTCGCTTCTGGAGCATTTTCTTTAAAAGAATTCGCTTCTGAAGCGTTTTCTTTAAAAGAATTCGCTTCCGGAGCATTTTTCTTGAAGAATTTCGCTTTTGGAGTGTTTTCTTTAAAAGAATTCGCTTCTGGAATCGAAGTCCTTTACGGAAACGCTCCGGAAGCAAAATCCTTCAAGGAAAACGCTTCAAAAGTGAATTCTTTTAAAGAAATCACTCCAGAAGCGAATTCTTTTAAAGAAATCGCTCCGGAAGCAAAATTCTTTAAGGAAAATGCTCCGAAAGCGAATTCTTCTAAAGAAAACACTTCGGAAGCAAATTCTTCTAAAGAAAACGCTTCAGAAGCGAATTCTTTTAAAGAAAACGCTCCGGAAGTGAATTCTATTAAAGAAAACGCTCCGGATGCATTTTTCTTCAAAGAAAAACGTCACTGGGTTCATTTTTCTTCAAAGGAAACGCCACTGGGTTCATTTTATTCACTGGGGCCATTTTTTTTTTAAGTAAACGCCATCGGAGCAGCTTTCTTCGAAGAAAAACCGCCTTTGGATTTATTTTCTTCAAAGAAGAAAATACAAGCCAACGAGCCGAGCTGCGGCACGAGCCAAGCCATGGCACAAGCCGGCTTGTCTGACTCGCGACTCGTTTTATGATGGCTCGAGCCGAGCCTAAACGAGCCGGCTCGTTTGGCTTGCAAGCGGCTCGGCTTATGCGGAGCTTTAGATAAATCCATTTATTAGTTTTTAAAGATTATTATTTTATATATCAAATATATTGTATTAGAAACCTTTGTTAAAATTTTAAGATTATATTATAGATTTTAAAATAATATTTTAGCTTAATATTTATAAATTCTTATATATATTAAGAAAAACTTTTATATCCTGAAAAAGCTTTTTGAATATTTTATGATCCATTAATCATACATCTTTTATAATAATATATATTTAATATTTTTATATCTTTTAATCCAAATACTAATTATATTTTTCAATTAAAAGTTCTTATATATTATTATTAGGTTTATTTTTGGTTATCTTAATGTCTAAATCAAAAGACTACAACAGTTGATTCTATATGTTAAAGTTTCTAACTTTAGGATTTTCTCTAAGTTTTATAGGTATTTATTTTACTTGAATCAACTTGATAATTTATTATGTCTTAGAATTTAAGATATATTAGTCAAATTAGTAATGACAAACTTAATAGCAAGTTAATATAGGATATCACAATAAATTCTAGATGAAGAATAACATTAAAGGAAAAAGTAAATTTGTATAGATCTAAATTGATTCCTTTATTTATATTACTGAACTTGTAAAAACTTATAAATAAATTAATTTACAATTTAAGCAAAAAGTTATTCTATTTCAGTGTATAAAATTTAGACCAAAAGTCATGTGCACAAGTTGTACTAAAAATAGAAAATTAATACATGTATTACATAGTATTTCTATTTTTATAAATAATTTATCCATTTTTATATATAATTTATCTATTTTTAGTAATTATTTGTGCACATTTTATGCTGTATAATATATGCATATAAAAATTTAATGTGCACATGTGCACATTGTGCACATAAATTTTACACACTATTCTATTTATACAAAATTAATTTGTTATGGCTAATTACTTACTACTAGTGTTCCGCATAGATTCAGATCAATCTGAATCCAATCTGAATTCAACAGATCGAATTCAAATTAGATCTGTTAGATTCAGATCTAATTCAGATTCAGATTCAGATCAGATCAGATCCGTCAGATTCAGATACAGATTTGGATCTGATCCATCAGATTCAGATTTAGATTTAGATCTGATCTGTCAGATCTGAATTCAACTTTTTTAAAGCTGAAAAGTTTCTTTTCAATGAAAAGGAACGAATTTTTAGACTTCTTTAGAGTTGAATATTTATTTTCTTTCATTGAAAAGAAACGAATTTTCAGATCTCTTTTAGAATTGAAAAGTTCCTTTCATTGAAAGGAACTAATTTTCAGATCTTTTTTAGAGCTGAAAAGTTCCTTTTATTGAAAAGGAATCAATTTTCAGATCTTTTTTAGAGCTGAAAAGTTCCTTTCATTGAAAGGAAACGAATTTTTGGACACTTTTAGATCTGAAAATTTGTTTCTTTCATTGAAAAAGAACGAATTTTCAGACCTTTTTTAGAGCTGAAAAGTTCCTTTCATTGAAAAGAAATTTATTTTTAGACCTTTTTTAGAGCTGAAAAGTTCCTTTTATTGAAAAGGAACAAATTTTTGGATCTCTTTTAAAGCTAAAAAGTTTCTTTTATTGAAAGGGAATGAATTTTCAAACTTCTTTAAAGCTGAATATTTGTTTTTTTTCATTGAAAAGGAACGAATTTTCAGATCTCTTTTAGAACTGAAAAGTTCCTTTTATTGAAAAGAAACGAATTTTCGAACCTTTTTTTAGAACTGAAAAGTTTCTTTTATTAAAAAGGCATTTATTTTCAGATCTCTTTTAGAGCTGAAAAGTTCCTTTTATTGAAAAGGAACCAATTTTCAGATCTCTTTTAGAGCTAAAAAGTTCCTTTCATTGAAAGGGAACGAATTTTCAGACACTTTTAGATTTAAAAATTTATTCTTTTCATTGAAAAGAAACGAATTTTTGGACCTTTTTTAGAGTTGAAAAGTTCCTTTTATTAAAAAGGAACGAATTTTTAGAACTCTTTTAGAGCTGAAAAGGTTTCTTTCATTGAAAAGAACAAATTTTCAGAACTTTTTTAGAGCTGAAAAGATTCCTTTAAATGAAAGAGAACAACTTTTCAGAACTTTTTTAAAGCTGAAAAGGTTTCTTTCAATGAAAAGAAATGACTTTTCAGAACTCTTTTAGAGCTGAAAAGGTTTCTTTCATTGAAAAGAAACATTTTCAGATTTTATTTAGAACCAAAAATTCATTTTTTCAATAAAGCTTTCAGATTCAGATCAGATCAGATTTGGATAAAATTTGATCTGATCTGATTTTACAGAACACTACTTGCTACACTATAAATTAACTATTTTAATAAATTTCAGCTATAATATAATAATAAAAGATAATAAAATAAAGATATAAAATATAAGATAAATAATAATGATAATAAAAATAAAAGAAATAATAAAAATAATAATTATAACGAAAATAATAAATATATAAAGAATTTAATAAAATAAGCTAATCAGATGAATCAGATGAATTTTATAAATCCTATAAATTAAATAAATCAGTCTGATTTTCTAATACAGTATGTTGATCAAGATCTTCTTTAATATGATCTACATGAAATTAAATCTAATAACTTTTATAAATCATTTTTTTAAAGCAAATTTTCAATGTTGACAGTATGAATCTTATAAAAAATCCTCTATAAGATTTTTCTTTCCTCTATTACCAGAAAAAATCTTTTCATTTCTTTGCATAAAAAAAATCATCTTTTATAATTATTCTCTAAAAAAGAACATTGAACAGCAACCTTTATTTTGAATATAAAAATCTTACTAAAATTATTAACTATTTACATAATATTAAAGCTCATATATTATATTCTGAAAATTAAAACTTTTTTAAACTAAATAAGAATAATTATCCTACTAATAATTCTGAAACTTTAATTTATAATAAAATTCTACAATAAGCTGCTACGTAGTTAGTATAAAATATCTCTTATCTTTTTCTTTTATGTCTATTTTATTATTAAATAATAGGTTAGATAACTCTTTTTAAAGGTAAAACATATTTAATCTATTGTTATGTTAATTCTTTTAGATTGCAGGTAAATTACCTGTAATATTACAGTTTAGCAAAAGGTTTCCTTTACACAGAAGATTAAAAATATTGATATGAGATAAAAAAATAAAGATAAATGAAACAAATGAGATGAAATGTATGCAATTAATTATTTAACAAACAAAAGACTAGTATTGCCTCTGTCAGCACGTTTGTACTAAACAATTTATTCTTAAAAATTTACTATAAGACAGGTTTTACTCTCTATATTTCTCTTATAAAACTACTCCTATTTTATATAAAAATATATTCTAATAATAATAAACTAAATAAAATAAAGAAAATAAAATAAATAATATAAATGGATAAAATAACAGAAATGACAAAAATATCATTAATAAATTTAAATGATAAAAATGATTACTAAATTTGGAAAATAAGAAATGCAGACAGTATTTAGCAAATATTCCACCTGAAATGATATATAAATATCTCATTTTGATGCATCAGCCTTCAAAACTAATCAAGATGTGATTCTAAAATATCAAAGATTAGAAAATATTTTTCGCACTAGATCTTATATATTTTCTTTATCAAAAACATCAGTTTTAAATAAAATTTAACTCTTATTTTAACGTTAACCATAATTAATTAATAATTTTAAAAATTATAAACAAACAAAATAAAAAAAATGTCATTCTCCAAAAAAATCATTTTATAACTGTAATATGTTTTATACTCAACAAAAAAAAGAAAACACTTCTTATATTTATTTAATTATTAAATGATTAATACCCCCCTAAATGATCATAATAATCATCTTTCGTGGCGTGGGTACTGAAACAAAAAATACTGGCTTGTTATACTTTAACTTCTGGAAAAACAAATATTATAGTGCTGTAGTGTTTTATATTATTTGTGCGTCATCTGACGCACAATAGTTTTGATGAGCTTCATATGAAATCATTTATTATACTTAAACAACCCATTTTAATTTACATAATAAAAAAAAAAAATGCGAATAGAGGTGATAAAGGTTGAATAAAAAAAAAAAATTTCAATAAAATAAAAAGTATAATTTACCAATATTAAAAGGAGTAGTATAACTTCAATTCAGCTCGTTTGATATAATTAACCCAACCTGGAAATGACGATCGAATCCAAAGCCCCACCATTTCACCAGGTTGCAGACCAGTTACTAAAGGATGATCTGAAGCGAACACATTATTATGTATTTGCCAGGTATTATCTGCATGTTTATTTGTATAGACATTATGCCGTTCTACCGGCACCTTTTCATTAAATTTGTCGTTAATGTCAATCGATTGATCTTGCAAGTTTATACCTTGCTTGGGTATAATCACGGAAGCTTCTCCCCATGTAAATGAACCTCTGTAAGTTCCTTGATCATTAGGATAAGACGACCATCCTTGATCATGAGACTCGCATGTAAATTCAACCATCTTGCACTTTGGGAATATTTCCGCTTCATTTGATGACGGTGGAGACGGTAATGATCCGGTAAGGTATAACGTATTCAAGTTATAGCCTGAATAGGGATCTTCTCGACGATAAGTGACCGAAGGCCAATATTGTGCAAAATCGAATATGACTTCTATTATCTCATATGGTAAAGATGGAAGCTTTCCATTATTTCCCCAACCCCTGAGAAAGTAAATACGAACTTTGAACCGATCCGCGGCCGTAATAGTATAAGGTGAGTTCGAAGTAGGCTGCGATGATAATACTTCAGTTACGTTTTCGTTTCCTGACTGGTTGATACGTACGTGTTCACTATACATTTCCCTAACAAGGTTTGAAAAAAAGTTGTACATGATTTACTTATTAAATAAGCTTTGGTTGTTGAAATTCAGGAGGAAAAAAAAATTATCGTATACAGGTATTATTTATATAAAAAAAAATATATCTAGTACTTTTTTGATAAAAAGGTTGTCACACAAACATAATACCTGTAACTAGGGTTGGCTTTAACAAAAAAATTAAATTTAAATGCCGCGAAAAATATATTTTATTGAATTATGTTAAAATTACAATTACTCTATATATTGATATACATTATTCAATTCATACTAATTATCTTCAACTAATATAATTTCACCCTCCGACCCATCACTTTTGTTCAATATCCTTATTTAATTTGTCCTTCAATAATCCAATTTAATTTTTTTTGGAAGCTAAGAAAAGAAAAAGAATCAGCTTCAATATTCAGATGACATTTTTTGATTGTAAATTCAAAATTTGTTACACTTGGCGTAGATTATCATTTATATAGTTTAAACGCGTCTATCAATGAAAAAGGTTAAGACCGATCGATAAAAAAGACTAACAGTATAATCGAAATCGGGAATTTCAAATAAATATCCGATTTGCGTTATCACGTGATGCGTTGATGAGGCGTTTGAAAACATAAATCCCACTTCGACGATAAATTTTATATTTAAGATTACAAAATGATTGTTTTTAAAAACGATTTATTTTTTTTTTAGATGGGTATAAAAAATTCACATTCCATTGAAGAACACTTTTTCTTAAGTCATAGAGTCATTGAGTTACTCATTAAAAAATGGAATATGATACTTACATTTACAATGTTCGTCGCATGTTTTGCATGTTCTGCAATTCGTAAAGGCACCACATCTAATTACGTCTCCATATTCTTTATCACTATCTACATGCGTACACTTTTGATCACCTTATAATAAAAAGTATAAGTTGATGATGGTTAGTTTTTATATATTTATGGGCGATTAATGACTCAATGACTCTTATGACTCCATTTACAAACTTACTCATTTCAAATTCTTTTACAAAAGCCAAAGAAAAAAATTGTGCCTTTTAAATAAAGAAATTTCATTAACACCATTGTCACATGCAAAGTTTCTTTAAAATCTATAATCATTACTAAAAAGGACTAACCCAGCACAAAGCCCAACGCCAATCTAAAAAGTACAATATCGAAAAAAGATATCGCATGTTAAGCATTTTGTAAGGTGACATCTCTTGTACATTAGGGCATGTATGTATGAGTGACTCAAAATTACGCAAAGAGCAACGCTTATAATACCTTTGAAATCTATAATACATTTTACGCACCATAAATACTTAAAAAGGACTAGATCAATGCCAATCTTAAAAAGAGAACCAATCTAAAAAGATTGTATCGATCCTCAGGAATCTGGACCATGGACTTCAAGTACCAGACCCAACCTAATTTCTTTTTCTGTTTGGCCAAAGAAAAAGTTAATTTACAGTGTTACCAAATTTGTCAAATGTCGTCTAATGGGTATCTAATATCTGAAAAATTTTGATCAACGTTACACGATCGACGTTGTTACAATATAAAAACGTCTTTTCACATTATAATTACACAAGGATTTTTAGAAAAATAATCGGGCACGTTGAAATTATGTTTGCTCGACAAGTTTTTGTTCATAAAGCACTAAATGAAACAAATTTAACTGGGTTAAGAATAGGTAGCAATTTTTACAAGTTTAACAACAAATCTCTTATAGAATGTTTTGTAAAGCACAACATTCACCTCAATTCAAGTGTTTCTACGATAATTTACCAACCACAGAAACCTTCCATTGGTAAGTACGAAGAAGAATCTTCCAACATTTCTAATTCCAATTCAAAAGTTCATATGAAATCCTTAAAAGACATGAAATTGTCAGTCGAAGAATTAAAAGAAAGAACTGCAAGAATTGCATCAATGTATAAGAATCAGATCGAATTAAAGGAATGGACAGAAGAAGAAACAAAACTTTTGCTTATGGCATCAAAAATCCATGGAAATCGTTGGAAATTTATTAATAGTCATTATTTTAATTATAGAACATTACATTCAATAAAATGTAAATGGTATAGAGAAAAGGTTAAATATGAAAATAGTTATAAGACAATTACATCAAGATGGACTCAGGAGGAAGATGATCTATTATTAAAAGGGATTGAAAAATATGGTAAAGGTCATTGGAGAAAAATTTCAAGGATGTTACCAAATAAAGAAGCTTTACAAGTGTTTAGAAGATATTATTTTATTAATTATACAAAACGTGGAAATTTCACAGAGGATGAGGATAATTTATTATGTGATTTATTAAAAAAGTATGGTAGAAATCGTTGGCAAAAAATTGCAGATGAAATGAATAGACCTGTTTTCACAATTATAAAACATTATAATTTGGTTTTATTAAATGCTGCGAAATTTCCATATTGGACTGATAAAGAAAATGAGTTAATTAGAGATTCTATCTTAAAGTATGGTAAAGATTGGAAAATTATTCAAAAATTATTGCCTCATCGTTTACCGCTTTCGATTAAGGAACATGTTAGATCTTGTTCTTTAATCGATCCTTATTATAATAATGGTTTCTGGCAAGTTAATGAAACCATAAGATTAGTTAAAGCTGTTGGTTTATATGGTAAAAATTGGCGAAAGGTTTCGGAATTTGTTGAAACTAGATCTCCTAAACAATGTGGTGCTCATTTTAGAGATTGTTTTTTAAGGAAAGGTCTGGAATCTTATATTTTAAATTCGGAGCAAAAACAAGTTTCCTGCCGAGGTATTTCGTAAACATATATCATATAACTATGACCATAAAAAAAATTTGGTTCATTCTCTTCTCTTTTTTTTTTTTGAATAGGAACAAGCAGTTGAACAATTATAAATATAATTTGAAATCGGATTTAAAGCAATTTCATATTTGAGATAATGTAATCAGTTTACGGCGGTTAGTTCACTTTCAAGCTTCTACTAACTAGCGGCTTCTTTGGAATCAATTTCAGCTTTAGATAATGCGATTAATCGATATTAGTTGCATTTGTTTCTTGTGCAAGGAGATTGGATCCATATCCGTTTAGACATTTGGCAAAGTGATATGATGTGATGATAACGAATAAGGTAAATAATTTATTTGATTTGATAATAGATTCTATAAATCTTCTGAAAGTTTCATATTGAAATATAATGAAGATTATATAATGTGAAAAATAAATAATTCATGAACATTCAAATACAAAGCTTTTGAAACGTTTATCCTCGTTAATATTTGCTAATGATTAAATTAACAAAAATTAAAATATTAGTAAATCAAAAACTTTTATTTAAAAAAACATTAGGTAATAAAATTTAAACAAGAATTAACGTTGATCTAACATAAATTTAAAATAAAAAAATTTTTTTGAATTATATATTTTAAAAATTTTAAAGTTACTTAAATTTTAAATTTTATATATTTTAAAAATTTTAAAATATATTAATCTTTTACAAAATATAATTATTAAATTAAAATATACATTAAGAATTATAAATATTAATAATATATTAATTTAATATATTAATTAAATAAATTTATAAACTTATATATATAAATTTTAATTTTATATACTAAATTAAAAAACCTTGTATAAATTCAAATTTTTAAAATTTTGATTAATTCAGATTTTAAATCAAATTTTAAAATATTAATTCAGTTTTAACTTGAATTTAAATTTATATATTAAAATATAATACTAATATAAATTTAATAATATTATAATTTAACCTAATCTAATATGTTAATTATATAAATAGAATTTATTATAATAAACTCTTAATATAATAATTACTTAATAATTTTTATTTAAATAATATTTAAAATTTTATATTCTATATTAAAGTATATGAAAATTTTTATAATAAATTAAAAAGGATCATTATATCAAGTTCTTATTGATATATTAATTAATAATATAAAATTTAGTAATTTGATCATTTATTTTATTTTATAAATATTTTTCTATAAATAAAAATTAAATAAAATTATTAAAATGTATTATATAAAATTATTTTTTATTTTAAAATTAAATTATATAATACTTAATTAAATAAAATCATTAATTACTTTAAATATTTTTAAAATAATAGTTTTTAATTTAAATTTTATTTAAAAAATATCATAAAATTCATTATAAAAGTAATAATTTTTAATATATAATTAATTAGTGATTTTTAAATAAATATATAATAAATAATTATTAAAAAAAAATTCAATTTTTAAATTTATATATATATCTTACTATCTATTAATTTTAAAAATATAAAAAATATTATAATTTAATAGATTTTAATAAAATAAATCCAATAAACTAAAATTTATTTTTTTGTAATTATTAAATAAATTATTTTTAAAATTAACAAATTGTAAAGTTATTATATTTTAAAAATATTAAAATACTACTATTAAATATATCTTAATATAATAAATCTAATATATTTTATTTTATCTTTTTATAATTGCTAGATATCAAAATATAATATTTTTTAATATATGGTAGCTTTATATAAACTTTATTAAAAATAAAATAAAATTATATAAATAAAATAAAAAGTATAAAATTTCTATTTAGTTAAGAAAACAAATTAAATTAAAATCAATTTTATATTATTACTAATTAAATTATCCTTAACTAATTTAAAATAGACTTAATCATCAGAATAAAAAGCCTAATTATTACTAATCAAAAAATTTGATTATTAGATATTATATTTAAAAAAGAAAATAAAAGAGAAAGAAATTGAAAGAAATAAAAAATAGATTAAAAACTTATCTACTAAAATGTATTTTTATTTTAAATTAGAAATGTTGTTAAAGAATTTAAATTATTTATTAATAATATAATACTTTATCTTAAAGGTTTTAATTTATATAAAATATAATAATTAATAGCAAAAAAAAGATTGAGAGTTAAATTTATTATTAAAAAATTAAAAGTTGTTAAATAAAGTAAAATAAAAATAATGATTTTAATAAAGTCAATAAAATTAATGATATTATGATATATATTATAAAGTCAAGGAACTTTAAATAATATATCATATGATTATTATAACAAAATAAATAAAAATTAAAAGTTTAAATATTAAGAAATTAAGAAATAACTAATTGAACAGAGGTCATAAAGAAAAAATAATTAGCTATAAATCACATGATAATAGATAAATAATTAACTAGATTAATATAACAAAATATAAATCATCTGATATATATGAAATATGATATAACTTAAAAGTAATATAAATCACATATAATAATTTATATATTATACAATAATCAGAAAGTAATATAATAACTAGAATATTATATAATAATTAGAAGAAAATACAATATAGAGATCTGAAAAAATTCTGATATCAAATCATAAATTTTTATTATGATAATAGAAAAAATTCTGATAAAATTTTGTATTTATTTATTACTATTTTAATTATTAAAATACATCAAAGAAGATATTTAAGTAATTCTGAACTTAAATTTTATCTATTATCATTTAACTCTTTTTTTATCATATAAAAGAGATTGATAATTATATATAATTATATGCTATTTTTTCTAAAAGAGGAAGTTATAATATAACATTATCCCAAATTTGTTTAGTTTAGAAAATTCCATTATCTTTGTAACTTAATTATTAGATATATAATCAAAACTTAAATTGTCCTTCTATTCAAAAGATTTTATATTAATTTTTTCTGCTGATTTGTAATTATTGTTGATTAATTATCAGATGTCATAAAAAATCTATCAAAAATTCAAAAATTCAAAAAATTCTATTATATAACAAAAATTCTGATTTATTCATTTATTATAAAAATGAAATTTTTCTGAGCATTTAGCACAATAACTAGAATATAATACAGAGTAAATTATAAAACTTAGATCATAAATTCTAAAGTCATTAGAGAAAGAAGATAATTAAAGGACTTTTAAATTGAGAAGAAGAAAAAGAAGGAAACTGATGAATGTGTATAAATATTACAAAGATTCAGATAAAAGAAATCAATGAATTGAAATTCTAAAATATTTGTGTAATCTATATTATTAAAAAGAAAATTAGTGGAAATAATGAAAAGAAAATAGAAATATACTTAAACATGAAAGAAAAGAAGAAATTATTATAAGAATTAAAGAATAGAAGGAAATAAAATAATAATTAGTGAAAATAAAGAAATATCTAAAAAAAAAATAATGATATTATAAGGATGTATAATAATAATATATAATGCGAAACTTAATAATATTATAAATGATAAATGAGAAAGAAAACATAGAAAAGAAATAAGAAATAAAAATAAAATAAAGTTAGAAATAAGAAAATTGATGGGAAATTAGAATTTATAATTAGAAAACATTAATGAAAAAATATAATAAAATATTAGAAATGATGTAAAAAAAATTATTAGTGAATGAAATGAGAAATAAGAAAAGAAATAGGGATTAAAAATTAAAAAAGAAAATAAAAATTAGATTAGAAAATTAGAATTTAAAATTTATATGAAAAAGAAGAATTAAAGAAAAGATTTACAAATTGATTGATATTAATTTTATATAAATAAAGGTAAAAATTATCTTAGTAAAATTAGAATATCCAATGAAACTAATATTTTAGGCTAAACTTTCTATATTTGCTCACTCTAATTATAAAATCAAGCATGACTCTTCAATAATCCTCTGTCTTATTGGTCTTTTAAAACTACTTTAGTATTAGATGATTGGCTCCCTCTACTTTTAAATACACTTAATAAAATTAACATTAAACTTGTCATTTCTGATTCCCTCTAGAATATTATAACTGGCAGAAGTATATCCATCTCTGACTTAATTACTTTAGAGTATAAAAGTACACTACCTCTTTTAGAAATTGCATATTGCTTTATATTAAACAATTGGTCAATTATAGAGAAGACTTCATATTTTTTATAAAGATTTTTATTATAATTTACAGCTTAAAGTTCGATTATTTAAAACTTTTAAATGGTATCTATTAGTATAAAGAATCTTACAAATAAATGCAATTAGAATCCTATTGCCAACACACTCATACAGTCATAAATTTTGTTATGTATATAATATCCACTAACCTTCACATATATTTAAAATGTCAAACATTATTGTTAGTTAGAACACTAATACAAACTCTTTTGTCTTTAATAGAGTTATCTCTATAGACAACAATGTAGTTCACTTAGTACACTATATTTCTCTTATTGTCTTTGTAATTTTACAGTGTTAAAATCATATAATCAATGTCAACTTCACCTAACTTTAACATTAATCTTGAGAGGTTTTTACAATAAATATTTTTCAATATGCAATATAATATGTACTCAGCTATTTCAGTTTCATTTAAGAATAGTATCTGTGATATTACATATAGCGTTCTCTTCTTAAAAGCTTTATATGAATTGGCTGTAATATGCTTTTTATCTTACACTAATTCTGACCTCTTACTATTCCTAGACTCTTCACTTTTCTTATACTAAATAATATGACTGATAAATTTATTTCATCTCCTCATAACCTAACACTTGCTAACCTTACTCTCTCTTTTACAAGATTGTCTAATTTAGAATTTTATATTGACAGTTCTCTTAAAGATATTAGTTTATCTTCAATTAGAATAGGAATAGTGTGATTACAGACTCATCAAAATTTACCAATAGTTTTCTTTTTTTTTACTTTTGCTTCAGTTTTTCCTTTTTTCTCTCTTTTTGAATTTGCAGCTATTTTTTTAGCTATTTTAACTACCTCTCCCAATTGCAATATATCCATTCTACAGTTATTATTTTACAATTTACTAAAATTAGACTCTTCCTCACTATGGTTTCTTCAATTAGACCTGTTCTTAAAATTAATAATTTTATGTATTGATCATATTTTTTGAAACAATTGATACCTATAATTTCACTATTAAACTTATTAAAGTTAAAGCTCACTCAGATAATTTCTTTAATAACAAAGTTGACTCCTTGGCTAAACTATGCTTTGATACACAAGCCTTTTATATAAATACTAGCAATGCTTTAAGATACTATTTTACATATCAGGACTCTGTCATTATCACTCCTATTCATCACTCCTATTCATTAGTTCATCAAAGATATTTCTTGAGAGTCTTGCATTCTCAACTGATTTAGATTATACATATTATATAAATAATCAAGAATCTATTGTACAAATTGGTCTGCAATAATATTTGCTTTTCACGATAATACTACTTTACAAACTAAAGCCTATACTATCTCTTTTCTTAGAAAAATAAAATAATAATGTCTCTTAAAAATGATGCTAACTCTTAAGATCCTTAAAATTAGATATCAAATGCTTTACCCACTTATACTCTTGTATCTTAAATGTGATGCAGCTAATGAAGATTTTTACTATGTTTGAAAATACTCTGTTATCAACTATCAAATGAGATCTATCATCAATTAAATAAAAGATTACTTAAAATCATTTACCAATGCACTTGATTGTGAAATTGAACAGCTTAACTGTTGAATACTTATCTTATATAACTCTTCTTCATATTTTGCTTTTATTAAAGGAATAGTTCCTGCCTCTTTATATAATTTTATACATAATAAATTTCTGTCTTATTCCTTAACTTCTGCTGCTTATTCTTTTTTATGCATTTTGTTTTTGAAGTAACCCATACAGTCTGAAAAGATCACTGCTCAATTATTCATGAATTTGAATACAATTCTAACATTGATCTTCAATCTAAAATTAATAACTTTATCTCTTCAGGTTATACATTTGATTCTAACCTACCTTCTCCTTATAGAACTAATAATTCAATTGCTTCAATGATTTGATTAGAATCCCATTGGTCAAAATTTTGATGTAGTAGTGATTATATCCTCTTGAACTTTATTTACCAGAAAGTGATAATCTTAGCTTAGGTTAAATTTAATTTTGAAAAGTGTAGAATCAGTCTTCTTTTTATTAATCCTAAATTAGTCTTAATGAGATTTTCGTAATTTCTTCTTGATTTTATAACTTATTTATTTTTATTTTTATTTTATTTTTTATTATAATAAAGATATTGCGAAACTATTACACTTTAAAAAAAAAATCTTAATAAAATTAAAAAAAGATTAGTAATCCTAGTTCAGTTGATAACAACTGAGCTAGTAGGATACTATATGTGATATAATTATATTACATGTGATATCTCACTTATCCTAGATTATAGTATCACATATAATTTAAATATTACATATAATATAAATATCATATATAATCTGAATACTATATATAATCTAAATTATATGATCTAATTATCACATATAATCTAAAATTTTATTATTTCTTATATCACTTTTACATTTTAGTTATATTTTTAAGTCTTTTTTAATATTCGTATTTTTATGCTAATATACTTTTTATTACCACATTATAATTTAATTACTGCACATTATAGATGCCTGCCGAAACCTCCTCAAAATAATTTCGTCATACCCTTTTCTATGTTTTTAATATAGTTTCGATAGTTTCAGCTTTCGTCGTATCGAAAGGGTTTTGTCGTATCTCTTATTATGATTTTAATATAGTTTCGTCTAAGTTTTGACTGTTATTAAGGGATTTCGTCCCTCATCATTACTGCATATATATAATTTAAATACCATACTTTTCTTCTTATTTCTAAATCGTTTATATACTAAATTTTATAATGAAGTAAAATTATTTAGATATCTGATTTTATGTTGAGGTGTTGACTTCCTACACCTAATTGGATACTAAATTCTATATTAGAGTATTTATCTTTTATGCTTATTTAGTTAACTTTTTAGTGATAAAAAAATATTATGTCAAATAACATAGTAATTTGATATAAATTTGTGTTTAAGTTTAGTCAGCACTATAACATAATTTCTGGCTGATTTTTAGAATATATGATCTGAAGGATTACTATAGTTGTAATCTGACAGTACCTGAAACTCTCTTGAAACTATCATAGAACTGGTAGAGAACTAGAGTATTTCTATCAGTTCTCTAGCTTTAAGTTATTTTGTATATTAGTTTGAATGCTAAATTATTATGTTTATAATTCTGGTCAAAATTAAGTGAAAATATATGCAATATCTAGTTATTGTAATTATTGCATTAATTTTATAATCCAATTTGATTACCAGTATAAATATATTAATTTTGCATCTGAAGTTAGAGATGCGATTTATACTATCATGGCTGGCCTATTTGATTGCCAAAAAATGCAATTCAACTATTACCTATTTGTTGCTATAAGTATGCTAATTTTACATCACAGAATTTGAATCATAAGAGCATTATATTGTATTTCCAATTATTTAGAGAATTGGTAATGCAGTTTTTATTACTATAACTAGCCCATTTAATTACCAAAAAAAAAGTGCACCTATTTATTGCCAGTATATATATGTCAATTCTGAGTGTCCCAAAGTTTACATTATTAGAATGCATTCATATTACCTCTAGTAATATATTTTCAAATATATTAAAATGCAAAATAGGGTGGATTTTTTGTTGTCATTAGCTGTCATTAGTGTTACTAGTTCTGAATACTAACTGGTAATAGAACTAGTGACACATTCATTATGTTTATTAAGATTATTAGGCTAATTTATTCCTTTTTTGATTAGTGTCACTAGTGTTACTAGTAAAAGTAGTAAATTCTAGAAAAAAAAATCAAATATTTTCTATGATACCCTATAGATATATATTCAATGTATATGGTATAAAAAAATAAAAAAAATTATAAAACTCAGATTTTTCTAGTAATACTAGTAACACTAATTACACCTATCAAGAAAGATTTTTTTTAGCCTAGGATTCTTAAAGAGCCTATTCTTTATGTTACTAGCTTTTATCATCAGCTTTTTTTTCTAATGACACTAATGGTAAGTTGTATTATTTTTGTTTACCTCTAAATTACCTATTAATATCTGCGTTGAAGTCAACTTAACCTATTTTTTTGATGATAATATTCTCTCAATCTATGTTTTTTTGCATATGTATCGCAATAGTCATATCTGAATCTTATCAGCTCATTGTATTCTTTCAAGAAACTTGCCTAGAATTCTGATAGACTTTACACCTCTTTGGATCATAGTATCTTTAATTGTATACTTCTCCAGTTCTAAGAATATATAGACAATAATAAAAATTTTTGGGTGTCACCTTTTTTTTACTTCTCATTTATATATATCAATTAATAATGTCAGGAAATTATTTTCATTTTAAACTTTTTTTTTTTGTGAATAATATACTTTGAGTTTTGGTATAACTATAAATTATCTTAAATTATTTGAGAAAAAATGATACAATTGAGCTTTCAGAGTTTCTTAACATCCCTGTCCTTTTTTACCTAGAGACTAAAAAAGATAAAATAGAAGTCTAAATAATTCACTTTTTTGGTGAAAATTATTTGAATAGCATTCTAACCTATGACGATATAGTAGCAGAAAATGATGAGAGATTATCTATAATTCTTAATAATACTTTAGCCAAACAAGAAGAGATTCCTTTTATGGCTATTAATTTTAGGATTTTTTAGAAAAGATAGTTAAAAAGAACTGTTATATTTTGTTTTTATAGTTCTCTTATCAATGGTTAAAAAGCAGTAGTTACTCTTATAAGAATCTAGGTATTCTTTGATATTTGCATATCTAAGAAGAAATTTATAGATAACTTTAAGATAAAAATAGACGAAATTCTTTGCAGTACTATAAATACTTATAAATAGAGCTTATTAAGACATTTTCTTTCTGTGATTATTATAGATGCCTGCCGAAACCTTCTCAAAATAATTTTATTATACTCTTTTTTATATTTTTAATATAGTTTCAACAGTTTCAGCTTTTATCGTATTGAATGGGTTTTATCATATCCTTTATTATGATTTTAATATAGTTTCGTTTAAGTTTTGACTATTATTAAGGGGTTTTGTTCCTCATTTATAGTGGTTATCATATAGAAAAAAGTTATATTTACAAGTTTTTATGCATGGTACTGAATATAGAAAGAAAGCTCTCTAAACCATCTAAGATAAAGATTTTGAAACTGCATCAGATAATATATTCTCATTTTACTATAAAATAGACAGAGATAATAAAATTACAATTTTTAATTAGTCTGTAATAAGTAAGTATTATTGCAAAAAACATCCTTAATATATATATGATTTTCACATTTCTGTAAATCATTTTTGAGTAGTAGAAGACCTGAAAATGATAAGTAACTATTTTCCAATTTCAGTACTCATAAGAGATTATATGTTTATTTTCATATGGGATATAGAAATATAATCACGAAAGCTAGAAGAATTTGCTGAAATACATAATAAAGAGGATAATATATTTATGATTTATATAATCTTACATTAGAAAGATAACCTAAAACTACTAAAACAGATCTGTCTTGTCAATATTGAAACAGCGTCAGACCTGCGATAGATAATAGTAGTATATAAAAATCAGTCAAATTTACTAAAGGCATTTGC